TTACCTCGACTTGAGACCAACTCGAGTTGCAACCAGAGCCACGGAACGGATTAAGTTCGTAGCTAGAGGCACCACTGTAAATGCAATGGTGCTCTGATAGTGGCTTGTTTCATAAATCTGCAATATAAACTGGTTAGATTTTGGGTTATTTCAAAGGCTCCTCATCCCCAGTGACCATATATGACTGCAGAAAGAAGCGTTGTAGGCATTAATTTTGCAAGTACTTGCATTTGAAATATATGTATGCATACACAAAGGTGGGTTGTTGTATGTAAAATCCCTTTATCTTTTTAATTTACTGCATCTACCATAAGGAACAACATTACCTGTTAATTATAATTTATATTAGGAATGAATGCATAGGAAGGGATTTTAAGTGTAATTAGATCAGATTTTTTAAGACTTTTCATTAATGTCCTGTATTTTGTTTAAAAGAATGTTAGAGTTTGTAAGTCTATTCCAAAACATGTGTTCCCTACAACAGTCCTGTGAAATGAGGGAAGCTGAGAGAAGAGGAATGACTTACATACATACATACATACATACATGCATACATATATTGTTTTAAAACTTCTGAAGAAAGTTTTCATGGACAAATATTGGGTATCTGACTCTTATATTGATTGCTATCCTAAATACATTTAAAATGAATGTTATTTATGAGTAGATATGGATTGTGTTATAAATGTCATTTCTTCCCAGTACTTTTTTTTTTTTTTTGCTGCTCTTCCTCCTCATTCGCTTTGTTCTGTTTCTGTTATCGTCCTTTTGGACAATTAGTTCTAATCTATGAGTCCAAATCGAGCCTACCTATAGATCTGATAAACCTATCTATACTGCCCGACTGAGACTGCAGATGTAAGAGTAAGATGGACTTGAGGAGACATTGTCAGGTACATGACAGATCACAGTATGTTGTTGATATTGGGGCTCTACTCAGGTTAGCAAGTTAGAAGTTAAACTGTTCATTTCCTTTCTTCCTCTGAAAGCCTGTTGGGTAACTCAGGGTGAACAGGGGTAGGTGGGATGGAAAGAGAAAGAATTAGTTGCCAGAGTCTATTGATTTCTGTCTCTTCATTCAAATGATGGAATGGCAATGGGGCTTAGGTGGAACAGAGTCATTCTAGCCTCACGAGGAGGAGAAACAAGATGTTATCTTAGGAGCATGTTGAGTTCATTGGCAATAACACAGCTGGGTTATTTAAGGCTCTGAACTTCTCTATAGCCCCCTCTTCCTTCAAATGGCCATATGCATTTCTTCACTTTTAAGTACACAATTAATGCTTCTCCTCAGTGTCATTGCCTGTGTGCTGTAGTGGTGAAGGTGTTGGACCGGCACTAAAAAGATCCAGATTCAAGTCTACTGTTCGCCATGGAAGATCATTGGGTGACATTGGGCTTGTCTCTCTTAGCCCAACCTACCTCACAGGGTTGATGTGGGGCAAAATTGAAAGAGAGTGTCCTGTGTACGCTGCTTTTCACTCCTGAAGGGAGAGATACCAGTCAAACAACTAAAGTGCCTTTATAGTTCTTACATTATATTGTATGAATATGGGTAAGAATGATATTCTTACCCATATAAGAATATATGGGTAAAAGAACCAAACAAAGATAATTTGCCAGCTCTGATTTTTTAAATGAGCATGCTTAATTCTACATTTGAAACTTCCTTAAACCAAGACACCATTGTGACTATAGGTATGTACATCCATCCACCAGCATATTTCCTTTTGAGGTAAGAATGTTACGTAAAACAGAAAAAGAAGTAAGTAGAGAGAAAGAGAAATTAAAGCCAAAAGAAAATCGAACTAAATGTAGTTTACTCTGCTACTATTTGCTATATATCTTCATACTTATCTATCTTTGCAAACTCTTGGAGGGGGTTGACTCTTCAGCATCTCATGACTTACTGACCAAGAGAGGGCAGTAGCATGTTGACAGTCAGGGAAGGGTGTACTGTTTGCCCCCTTTTTGCTTATCATTCTGCCCAAGAGACTGTGAATCTGAGGTCACTTGCTTGCCTT